AGGCAGAAAAGGTGTGGGGGAAACTAAAAAATGGCGGAAAATTGGAAGCACTAAACGTTAGATATATAGAACGAAGGCACTTCCTTTTTTCCGGACCCGAGTCCGAATAAAATTTTTTCGTATTCGGACTCGAGTCCGAATAAGAATTTTTTTTATTCGGACTCAAGTCCGAATATGAAAAAATGTTATTCGGACTAACGACGGCCTTAGGGTAATCACTTTACACTGTCTTTTTCTCTTACATTAATCTTGTCCTTGTGTGTATACTTTTCTTTAATTCTGTCTTTTTTTTGTGTATCGTGTCTATGTGAAATCAAACGGACCGGTAGGCCCTATTGATTTCCTTGTTACTTTTACTTGTTTCACTTTTGTTTTTCTGAACATGGTATTTGGTAAGCTGTTATTTTACCAATATTCACTCTCATCTCATGCTCTGGAATTGACATTGCTTAGTACTTTACTTCTTCGTATTTATTTTACATATGAGTTTTGATTTTTATAGATCTACTCAGAAAATCATCAATTTTTTTAAAACATCCGATAGTTTTTATAGGATTTAATGTTACACCAATTGAAAATTACATTTTGAATAGTTATCTTATCTAATATTTGGTGCTTGTTCATTAAAATCAAATTTGTTTGGGTTTTTTCTTGTTTTCATCATGGGATGCTAAATTTGAGCATATACTTTATTAGTTTGAGGAGAAATGCCTCCCAAACAAAAAGGTCAGCTGGACAAGGGAGCCTGGGCCTGGACGGAATCTACAGACTACACAAATGTCACAGACGAGCACATCAGACAAGCCTACAGACTCAATCTAACACCTTGTGACAGGGGCAGCTGCAAGTATGTTGACGGCCTTGCAGGGAAGCGGGTGGTTGAAGGGTGTTCTGGTGTGGTCTGCTATTATTTCTTTTTAGTGTTGCTATTGTTGGTATCTATTCCTGGTTAACCCTCTTAGCACCTTAAATAGGTCAGCAGGTCCTCACAGCCGAGAAACAAAATGGTGGCCAGCTGATGGCTTCCCAGAACTGAATTATTTCAGTGTTTTTCAGAGGTTCAGGGGGTGTAGCAAAGAAATTGCTTTTGATCTAAGCAACGTATCTCAATGAAATTTCACGTACAAAGACCTAGGAGGTCAGCATTTAAATTTAGAGTGGAATGTTCTTATTTGTAAGCCTACATTAAAGGTGGGTGTGTCAGGTTGGTAAAAGCCTGTGTGGCTCTACAGCGGGGAAAGCCACTATGGCAACATGATGGAAAGGCCGGTATGGCTCAAAAAGGGTTAAAGACAACAGCAGTTGTGCTGAATGGTAGTTTACAATACCAGTCTGCTATGTCACAGATAAATCTGGTGGCCTCAGCCTTTTCGTCACTTCTAAGAAAAAACCACACACTATTTTCTCCTCAAATATTACACAAAGGTTGCATTCAATATTTTCATTTTTTGTTAGGGGAATATTCATAAAGTTATAGGTTTCGATGGCAATGTATTTTTATAAAATACTCCACAATTGAGCCATTGCTTTCTAATTGCACTTTTTACAAATGTGAGCATCCTCTGTTCAGTATGTTTAAAAGTGCGTGGTTAAAAGCAAACAGGAATCTCCAAAACAGTTGAAGGGGGTTTAGTGTATCTGAGTTGTTAGTGAGCTCTGGATCACAATAATGTCAAGTGTGTGTTGGTGAGTTGTCACTTTGGTATATCCTTGAGCAAAACGTGTTAATGTTAACTATAAAACAGAGCGCTACACAGTCAGGACCAGCAGTGGTGTGTGAATTGTCTAGGTTTGTGATGCTGTGTATTATTCATTCATATGTATTAATGTCTACTTGTGAATTTATGTATGCCATTTTAAAGCAAATTTCCAAAGACTATCAATCAAGTTAAATTTATTCTAGTTACAAGAAAACTGCTGTCAAATAGTTGTGACCTCTGTTGTGGCAGTAGAAAGAAAGAAATGACAGCAGTGTAAGACCTAAGCTCTAGACTGTCATGCTCAAAGTTATGCAAGCAGCTAGTTTACTAATCATTTTGATTGCTGTGACTGATATTAATAAACAAATTTGACAGTAGTGTTACTGGTTTATATGTTGTTTCTATTTTCAGGTTTTGTTTTTAATTTGTAAATGAAATTGTTTGCTAATAGCGACATTTCACAGTGGAGAAATTGTTTTTCAAAATGGCCCTGAAATTCCAGAAGTAGGAATTAAGAATAGGTTTTTATGTGTTGATCTGTGTCGCTCTGTTTTTCTTTTTTGTTAATGTATTGTTTCCTCTGGAGTTAATTATCCTTTTCTAGAGTTACAAGTATGTGTGTTTTCTTCAATGTGATTTAATTCTTTCACTTATGTCTACATCTTTTTGTTCTTAGGCGAAACTGCAAAGGTAATCCATTTTGCTTGAACAGCATTGGGGAAAAAAAGTGGCATGGCACCATTGATGAGACGAAATGGCAAAACTTTGATCATGAATCTGAACGCAGGCAACAGGTGATTTCAATAGTTACAGATTTTGTTGTTGGAATACGAGCAGAAAAGTTACATATAAAGAAGCTATGTGTGTGAGACTGAAAGGGATGTTTTGTGTACTAATTATGTTTTTTGTGTATGAATAGGAAACATGAGTCTTGTAAGTGTTAATTTTTCCTGCTCACCTTCTTTGTACCGGCTGCAAGTCAGAAAATGTCAAGTACTTCAAATTGAACTAGTGGAAGAGTCAACAAGCATATATGGCACAACAGAAAATGAAATTATGATGGTGAATGTTAAGTCGATATGCATTTGAACATGTTTCTATTTGAAGGATAAAAACACTGCTGAAATGATTTTTTTGTGAATATTTGGAATTATTTGCTGGATGCCCTTTGAGTTGCTGAGATATATACTTTCCCCCAAAAAATCTGGAATAGTGTGCAGCACCCTGTGTCAATTTCACAAAGCAAAAAAGATGTAATAATAGAAGAAAGTGTCTTTAGAAATATGCAAACATTTTTTGTTTTTACAGAGATATTCTTTGGATGTGATCAACTGTGCCCTTTGAGTTATGCAAAATTCTTAATGCACAGTCAATGTGGAACATTTTTCTGGTGAAAATTGTGTGGTTGTATTGGTTGTGGTGGTTGGTTTGGTTTGCTCCCTTTTTCCTATCAAACATCAATGGTACTTATCTCTCCTCTCTCCTTTTTGTTTGTATGTTACCTCTTATCTTCGCCATTTATTAGACCTATAACCTATTGCAAGTGCCATAAAACTCTTACTCGAGCTAAAACCTGTGTGATGGTCTACATCTACAGCAGCATGACAACTGCTGTCTGTTTGCAAAACAGTGCTTGTGAATTTCTAATTTGCTCTTTTTTCATTACATGTAGTTTTATTTGGACTCCTTTCCAGGGTGGGCCTATTGGAGGTGGATGTTAAATCAAGACGTGCCATCTTTGAAATAATGTGTCTGTGTTGCAAGGGGTGTTAAATGTATACACTTTTGCATTTTTCTTCTTTTTCAGGGTGACTTTGTAGGTCTGAAGAACCTCGGTGCCACATGTTATGTCAACACTTTCCTCCAGCTGTGGTTTCACAACCCGAGCGTAAGGAGGGCCGTCTATGAGTGGAGGGATGCGCTTCTGCCACAGGAATATTGTGAGTATATGGGGGTGGGGGGGGGGGAGGGCTGTTTATGAGTGGAGGGACGGGCTTCTGCCTCAGGAATATTGTGAGTATATGGGGGTGGGGGGGGGGGCTGTTTATGAGTAGAGGGACGTGCTTCTGTCGCAAGAATATTGTGAGTATATGGGTATGGAGGGCAGTGTATGAGTGGAGGGACGGAGTTCTGCCGCAGGATTTTTGTGAGTGTATGTGGGCGGGGGGGGGGACGGACTTTGCTGTTGGAATATTCTGTGTAAGGGGGGTTGGGGATGATGACGACCCAAAGCAACTTACTTGGAAAGTCTTAGGCATTCCTCTTGGTTTGAAAAGCAAAAGAAAAGAATGTTTCTATTTAATTTTTTAAAATTTTATTTTTTTAAAATATTTTTTAATTAGAAAAGCAAGGCGGTACCTGTCCTCATGAATGTGAACTGAAGTTACGGGTGTTTTTATAACTTTGTTTTGCCTTATTTGAAAGGAATGCATGAACCTAAATGTTACTTGTCACTGACAACAATTTTTCTGGCAGTGAAAATACTGCTTTGATTTTGATGTGACATTGCAGCTAAAATGATAAACATTACAGGACTTACCACTTTTAACTCAGGCTATTCTGTGTGTTTTCTTTTTTAGACAAAGGATGGAAGCCGGATTCAATCTGCGGCCACTTGCAAGTAATTTTTGCTTTGCTTCAGTTCAGCAACAGATGGTAAGTTCCTGCACTACTCGGGCAGTATTGATACAAGCGTAAGTCGTTTTTGGCGGCCTTTGAGGTACGTCTGTATGCAATACTGCCCGTGACTATTAAGTTTATGGACTATCCGTAGCTGATTCCTCAGTCTATTGCGTTATTTCATTGTCACTTAAGTTTCTTCTACTACACTCCCCCACTAGGTCTCCGGCACATGGCAGACTGTCCAGCAGCTGGCCACACAAAGATCAGGCTGCTCTGACGTCGATAAAATTCTCTTTGACAAAGTTATTGTAAATTATGTCCTTTCGTAAAAAATAATGTCAAATTCGGAACCAGAGTATTAAAATTTACAAAATGAGTTGCGGATGACTCTTTTTCCTTGTTGGACTTCAAAGATCACAAAAATATCGTGTATTATTGGTTTCAATTGTAAGTGAAATACCCCACCTTAAGGCCATCTGTGAGTAAAATTTCCCCCATGTTTGCCCAGTTTGACCATGCAACATTTTTTTCTCCATTTTTGAAACCTACATCCATTTCCCCAGAAGTTTCAAACCCCCGTTTCATAGCTGCCAACTGTCCCGAGCCATCCGTATTTTGTACGGATTTTCTTGAAAAATCGCTGTTGTCCTGGAAATACGGATTTTGACCGACGGTCCCGGAAAATAAAAACTTGGCAAGCATACTTCTAAAACAGAAAAATTAGGCCTAGCGAAGAGGGGAACCAGATTCCATTGCAGTGATGACTGACGACTGACCGTGACTGGTGACAGCACACACTAGACCTCCTAGGCCAAGGCCACCACACTGTAGGCCTACACGCTCACGATGGCTAGGCCTATACCTACACACACACACCTCCACCTTCACCATAGCGAGATGCCTTCACCACTCTCATCACTTGCACTAAGCCAAGGCGTAATGAGAGAGCGAGAGGGGACCAGCACAATCTAGTTTTGTCGCACCCGCTTTCACACAAACTAGCCTAGAAAGGCTGTCTAGATCTAGGCCTAGATCTAGAATCAAGATCTAGATCTAGCTAGGTCTAGATTTACAACGGTTTACGGATTTCGTTAACTTTATGGAGCGACAGAACAGCTTTCCTCGGCACAGTTGCAAACCAGTTTCAGACCTGCCAACTTTTGAAAATCAAAAATAGGGAATTTTGAAGAGAGATCGACTCAAGAGCAAATTAAATGTGGCCCGTGAGTTCGAAGACAGTTATATCACGTCACGGGCATGCTATGATGGTGAATGAGTCAGTAATATAATAATAATAATAATATTAAGATATCTTTCTCCAACTCTCACAGGGTTTACTTACCTATTTACACTATTATAGTGCAAGGGTTCAGGCGTAGGGCCTGCATATCAGGCCAGTTTCGCATTATGACAACATTGATATTATAATTATTTTTTGTTGTGTGTGAATTTCGGGAAATTGAACAAGATTTCTGTTGCTCGGGAAAACAACAAAAATTCGGGAGATTCCCAAAAAATTTGGCACAGTTGGCAGATGTGCAGTATTAAGGTATAACGACTATGCGTAAGGTGTCCCTGATAATTAGTCAATGTCCCTGATTTTGAGCAAGGCTGTCCCTGATAGCCACAGAGAGGGGTGGGCAGCTATGCCACTTCCATGAAATATGTTTAGAAGTCATGTAAAAATGGGTTTAAAAAAATAATTTGCAATTTTGAGTCTTGTTTAAAAAAATTTTCTTCATTGCTTTCAAATATTTATTTTTTCCGACTTCAAATTGCCTATTCTCTGTTATTTTGTATCTGAATGGCTTCATATTGTTACACAATGTGCGTCCATAGGTGACCTTTACTGAAGTAGAGCCTTCTTTGAAGATAATAAGAAAATAAAGTTACAATTAGTGTTTTTTGGGGGATTTTTGAGCATTTTGCTATTTGTCCATAGTACATATTTCCAGAGTCCATGATTGCTTTCATAACCGTAATATTACAAATCTGGCGTTATTTGCTCATTACATAGGTGTTGCAGTTTGTACTTACTAAAAAATGAAAGCCAACAGACGAAAAATAAGAGAGACGATAGCTTTTGAAATTTTATGAAATTATCCTATATGGCGGACGTTTGCTTGGTTACCATGGTTACCATGTGCTTATAATAATAAATAATAACTTGAATTTTTAAAAAAAAATTCTTTGATGTATGACTAATGTAAATATATCATTGTTGCTATATTTAGTCAAGGGGTATGGATTTGAGAAATTTCATCAGCAGATGGCCTTAAAGTTGAGTAAAGAATTCTGAAGACTTGCTCTTTGTTCCTTTGTTTTCAGCTACGTTGACCCCTCCCCTTTGATAGAGTGTATTGGCCTGGACACAGGAGCACAACAGGTAAGTGTTTGACTGTTATGGGTTGCTGTGTCGCAGTGGGTGCTTGACTAGAGATCTTTTTTGAAAATGTTGGTGAGGTGTTTATTGTCTCCATCGACAACCGCTCTGGAATCAAACTGAAATCTCATGCATGCGATGGCAACATGCCTAATTGCTACACCACAGACATCGATCAGGAGCTCTGGAGGGGTTTACTTCTCTTTCTTGTGTTCAGTGTTATGTTTTTCTTTGTCTGTTCCTGGCTCTCTATGGCCGCTGTCCTGTCAGCATTGCACAGACCACATCTCAACGATGATGCTGTGGCAAAAGATCTTGCCAGTTTGCTACTGTCTGGGCATGTCTAATTCACAGCTTGCACAGCATACTTCTCGGGTAGCCAAGAATGTTTCAGAGTGGTATGCTAGGGTCCTCCTTGGCATTAACAGTCGTAAAGCGAATAGAGGAATACATTTTGAGGTGGCTATTGTATTTGATTTTGTAGTTTTCTGTGATATGGTGAAATGCGAGCCCCATCCTTTTGTTTTTAATTTTTATCACTTTCTTTTCCCGTTTTTTTTGGTTTGTTTTGAAAGGATGCGCAGGAGTTTTCCAAGCTGTTCCTGCATGTCCTTGAGAGCGCTCTATCTGGCGATGTGCCAGGCTGTCAGAATGTGATCGAGCAGCAGTTCTGTGGACGTTACAGCTACGTCACCAAGTATGGCCTGATTTTGATAATAAAGATAAATAAATTACTTTTCATTAATCCCCTTGGAGGAAACTTTGGTTATGATGGCAAACATACATACATAGTTACCTAATTAAACACACAGATATACATACTAAAAATACCTAAGACAAAGACACAATATTACACAAATGCTGAACAATTTCACATGTATAGTAACTTTTCTGTTAAGAATGAAATTACATAGCAGAATTATGCTTTCATTAAAAGGAGCTAACAGTTAATTCAGTTGATGTTGTCAGTGTATGTTTATTTGTGGGTATGTGTGTTTACGTATGTGTGTGAGTGTGTGCAGTAGAATATTTTTCTATTTTTAAATCTTTCATTTCAGATGTCAGAACTGTAAAAGCCAGTCAGAAACAGCTGCCACCTTCTACGAGCTTGACCTGAGCATCAGAGGTCACTCCACACTGGCTGCCTCCATCAAAGATTTCTTGCAGGTATGATGACCACATCTCTCTTTCACAGATGACCACTTCTCTCTATCACACAGTTGAACACATCTCTCTATCACAGAGGACCACATCTCTCTGTCACAGATGGCCACTTCTCTCTATCACAGACGATCACATCTATCACAGATGACCACATCTTTCAATCAAAGATGACCACTTCTCTTTGTCACAGATGACCACTTCTCTCTATCACACAGAGGACCACATCTCTCTGTCACAGATGGCCACTTCTCTCTATCACAGATGATCACATCTATCACAGATGACCACATCTTTCAATCAAAGATGACCACTTCTCTCTGTCACAGATGACCACTTCTCTCTATCACAGATGATCACATGTCTCTGTTACAGATGACCTCTTCTCTCTATCACAGATGACCACTTCTCTCTATCACAGATGACCCCTTCTCTCTATCTCAGATGATCACATCTCTCTATCACAGATGACCACTTCTCTCTATGATAGATGACCACTTCTCTCTATCACACAGATGACCACTTCTCTCTATCACACTGATGACCACTTCTCTCTATCACAGATGACCACTTTTCTCTATCACACAGATGACCACTTCTCTCTATCACAGATGACCACATCTCTCTGTCACAGATGACCACATCTCTCTATGTCACAGATGACCACTTCTCTCTATCATAGATGACCACTTCTCTCTATCACACAGATGACCACTTCTCTCTATCACAGATGACCACTTCTCTCTGTCACAGATGACCACTTCTCTGTATCACAGATGACCACATTTCTCTGTCACAGATGATCACATCTGTCACAGATGACTGCATCTCTTTATCACAAACAAGATTATCAATGCAATTATTCGTAATCGTAATTATCAGATTATCAAGTTGAGTTTGTTTCAGAATGCTCTCAGGTCTGCTGGGGAAATAGTATAGATTGTGAAGTGCATAGAGCTTGCTGTTGAGCAGGGATTTGCGCTATACAAATGCTATCTATTATTAGTATTATTTTAATTTCATGGGTGGTAGGCTAATGCTCTGGTGTGGTTTGCTCTGGTTTTCTTATTAAACATCCATCTTTTTAATCTCCCTCCTTCTTTTCCTTGTATGGTGCTTTTTAGTACCTCAAATCTACAGCACTTGTATGACCTATTTGTGTTGCAAGTGCTGTAAAACTCTTACTAAACTTAAACATTTCAATTTCAAATATTATGTTTCTCTGCGCTTTCAGTTTCTAGTTAATTATAAACAATAACCCTGATACTATGAAATTGTATTTCTATGAATCAGCATCTGGATCCTGAAAGAACAATTTTAGTTTTAGTAAGAGTATTACAGCACTTGCAACAGAATTAGGTCATGTAAGTGCTGAAGGTTAGACATGTTACTAGAGAGTAACATATAAAAACATATAAAGAAAAACAGGAGGAGAGATAAGGATGATAAATGTTTGATAGGAAAGAAGGAGGAAACCACTCTATAGCAGCTGCCAACCACCGTTGAGATTTTTTTAATGGCTTTTATTATCATTGTCATAATTTGTGTCATGCAGTGGAATCAGGCTCTAGTCAATTTTTTGGCACGTGGAGTTATTGGTATCATTCTAAAGTTTTTTCAATGGTCTTGCTTTCGATGAAAAAAAAAATTCATTCATCGTAGTACAAGTCATTATATTTGCGATTGAAGGAGATGGGGGGTCGTATGATCTGAGAGGTAAAATTTGTGAAAAAATGGCAGTCAAAGTTAAGTTATTTCCTTAGCTTGAGAGTCCGTGGAAACCAAAAATTTACCTTTTTATGCCTTTAATTGATGTTTTTCACTGCAATCCACCCAGACATGTGTTCTTTAATGGACATGGAAGGTGTTAAGCCAAAAAACAAAAATTCAATGAAAAATTCCTAAACCTGTGGAAAAATGCCATTTTCTTCACTTTCATTATTTTGACGAGCACCTGATTTTCCCCACGCTACCTCTCATTTTAATTAATTATTATTATTATTTTTATCACAATCAGTATTATCATTGTTATTCGTAGGAGGAGAAGCTGGAGGGAGACAACCAGTACATGTGCAGCTTGTGTGACAGCAAACAGAACGCCAGCCGCGCCATCAAGCTTACCAAGCTGCCTCCCGTACTCAACCTGCAGCTTCTACGCTTCGTCTTTGATAAGTGAGTCTCGGCCAAATTGTTTCATGTGTGCTCTCAAAATTGGCGTAACAGCTTGTACATAGTGTATGGATGTATTGATTTAATGCCCCTGTCAATGCTGTTAGGTTATGGAAGAGGCGGAACCTCCAAATTTCACATCTGTCTCTGCAGATAAGACTGAGTTCAATAGGTTGAGAGCCTTGAAAACCCCACAAAGTGATCTGAGTTTAAAAACACCCAGTCTGGGATTTGAATCAGGGCCATCGGCTCCTTAGTCCAGCCTGATTCCAATTGAGCTAACAGAGAGCCCTCGGTATACCTCTTGATGTCATGTGAAAATAGCAAATAATACAATGGTGTATCCACTCATTGGTATTGTTTTGTTGGCTTATTCAACGTGGGGGGTTGAGGGAACCACTGGTAGACCGCACTTTCTGTTGTGAAATTGTTCTTTCAGCTTTGGGTTCTGATATAAGAGACTGAATAAATTTTCCTTCACTGTGACATTTCTTGTCGAAATCACGCAATAAAAAACAACTGAGGGTCAAATTAAGGTTTTGCGGCACTCGCAACTGCATTAGGTCATGTGAGCGCCAAGGGTTGGATGTCAACAGAGAAAAGTCCAAGTGAGGAGTCAGGCTTACTCTGCTCATCTCTAGCCTCAACAGCACAAAAACTGCTTAGACTATCAAGGCACCCCGGAAATAGCAGTTCACAAGAGAGTGACAAACATACAAAAGAAGTAGAGGAAAAATGACGATAGTGAGGATGAGGAAAGAAAAAGCAGCAGTTCCCCCCCTATGTTGTTCTGGCACAGTATGAGCTTGTCATTGATAAATCAGTCTGTTTGCCATTCTACTGTGCATGAGAACATGTAAATATCCTCCCTTTGGGAATGGTCTAAAGACACTTTAGTCAGTACAACTGCCCTGGTGGGGGGTGGTTTTTGTTAAATTTAGTGCAGAAATACAAGAAATAAGAAAGAAAGAAAGAAAAAATACTGTCAAAATAAACTTTTGTTTTCCAGTCCTGAATTGAACAACCATTTGTGTCACGACATGGAGGAATAGGGCGCTCGTCAACTTCATGTAGAGTTATTGGTATAATCTTAAAAGCTTGTTCATTTGTCTTGTTTTTGATGAAAGAAATACCCATCTATCTTGAATAGAAGTTGAGATATTGCGATTGAAGGGCGTGGGAATTGCTGGTTTCAAAGAATGTAAAGTATAAGAAAAAATTTGGGCCCTGAAAATGTGTTGGCGATGTGTTTTCTTCGCTATGTGTGTGTTTTGCTATGTGTCTGTTTTCTATGAGAATGTCAGACTATTATTATTTCTATTATTATTTCTATTTTTGTTTTTTCCAATGTTAGGAACAAAGGACACAAGAAAAAGCTGAGCAGTTTCATCCAGTTCCCAGAGACGCTGGACATGTCCCCGTACATGGGTGATCAGGAGGGCGGCACTGTTCTCTACGAGCTCACGGCCGTGCTCATACATCGGGGACCCACTGCTTTCAGGTCTGCTCATATTTGAGGTTGATCAGTTTTGTGTTTTTTTACTTCTCAGATGGTTTGTGGAGACTCATGGTCATGTTTGAGTTTGATCAGTTTTGTGTTTCCCCATACTCAGCGAATGGTTGGTGGAGACTGGTGTGGACTGGGTTTTTTCCAACTTGTTTTTGGTGTTTCTACTCTTCCATATTCTGCAGCCTCGTCATTAGCTTAGTCAGTATCATTCAGAACTAAGGTGTGGGTAGCCCAGGTTCGAATCCCCAATTTGGCTGGGTAGTATCAGAGATCCGGCCTCTAGTTTTGAAAGGGGTGTAAAACTATCCAATGACCATAACTTGTTTCTGGTAAAATATAGTTGATGTAATGTCGACTCGCCTTAAACTCATAGATAGTTTGAGGGCACCTCTTGTGAGTGTGTTTTTGTGCATATGTGTGTGTGCATGTAGCACTGGGAGATCCAACTTCCTTTCTCTTTCTGTGTTATTTTTGTCTTGCCTTTTCCGTGCCCTAAAGGACTGTCTGTATCAAAGAACTTTTTCCTCTAACTGCCCTCTGGTACTTGTTGTGTCCCTGCAGCGGCCACTACATAGCACACATCCGGGAGCCCGAGTCGGGAGCCTGGTACAAGTTCAACGACGAGGAGATTGAGAAGATGAAGAACAGGAAGCTGGAATTGGGGAAGGAGGATGACACTATGAGTATGTATTAACTATTGTCGATAGCTGACAGAGTTTAAGTTTGTTGTCAGAGTTAACCTGTCATGTCAACACATTGTAAGCCTGTTTTTTGTGAACCTACTTGGCTAAGCTTTCAATTTTGACAAGTGGTGGGTCTATTCCCTATTTTGTGACAGAAAGTTTAGTTGAAAATATGCTTACGCTACCATTTTCATTTTTTAAAAAGATAGATATCGAAACACAGGCTTGTATTTCCAACAAAAATATTCAGAAAAAGAAAGGTTTGATATCACAAGGGCACATTTAAGCACAGGAAAGCAGATATTGATAATGAATGATAAATAAATGCAGGGTCTAGTCAATAGAAATAGTGACTTCTGAATGTTGATTATAAAGGTTTGTTTCTTTATTTTCTTCAGACTCTGAGAGCAGCAGCTCAGAGAAAGTGCCGAAGACCTCCAAGGGAAACCACTCCTCAAGGAATGCTTACATGTTGGTCTACAGGCGCAAACAGGAGGATCAAGACGGTGAATCTCTCACTTGTTTGTTACTGACACAGTTGAACTGTATTATAATGACACTGTCCAAGATATTTACCTGTCTACGATAACCACTTTTCTCCTTGACAGTGGTTGGCTGTCGAGAACAGTTTCAATTATACTTTCTTCGTCGGGTGTTTTCGAACATTTGACGACGAAAATGACTCAGAAACCGATGAATTGGTCGAAGATTGTTATGACGAATTGGGTGGGGAAATTTGCAAAGAAAAGTAAGATTTAGTAGGGTCCCGAAAACCTAATTCTAGGGTTGCGGTAGTGGGGAATGGCGTGAGTAAGAAAGACAAAGGGAACGCAGTTTTTGACCAATTTTTGAAAATTCGTGAAACAAAAAAGAGACAACGAAACAGAGCTGTAATTTCATCTGAACAATCTTTATTATGTTCAAAAACAATGTTTTAAATTTCAAGTCTTTATGTTAATTAGCAAAAGCACAGTGATTTTTAAAAATTACCCTTTAAATGGCTGGCACACAGGGAATAGCGACCCCGAAAATGGCTGGTAGTGAGTGAGTTAATAATTATTACAAATGGAATGTTTATCTCCTTGACATAAATGCTGACCCACTGCCGTGGCAATCTTTTGACTTTGATGCTGATGTGTCTGTCATTGCATGCACATAGCAAACATGCTTGTGGTAAAGCACGCACATAACGATAAGATCCTGAATTGTTTTATTATACATGTATTTTATTTTTTATTTTAAAAATGCATATAACAAAATTAATACACAAGGAAAAGGTTTATTTGTCCTATCGATTTTGCTTTGTGAATGTTAGGCTGTAGTTATGCGTCTCGTCAAACTTTTTGAAGCCTAAGATTTGAGATACCAAAGTCTGTGAAGTAGACGGAGGTAAACAATTGATGTTACTGTACTGTTTTGTCAGAGTATGACTGTTGATGTGTTGGCTTCCATGTATCATCTATACCTGAGACTTAACGTTCATATCCGCTGGTTAAACTAAGGTTGTTGGTGGTTGATGGGCGCTCTGGGGTGGTTTGCTCCTTCTTTCTTCTAAACATCTGTCAAACTAAGGTTGATGCTTGTTTTGACAGATGCCAAAGCCCATGAGTTTTCGTCAGCTCTGTTGCCAAATGCTGTTCAAGGCTTTGTGAAGAACGACAACTTGGAGTTTGAGGAATGGATTAATGAAATGCTTCGCTCACAGGTACTGTGAAAGCAGAGCGTTTGTTTCTTTTCTTTTTTTATCATGTGATTAACAATAAGTTGTTTCTGGTGAATTCTTTAATATTTTGTTACTTACTTTGTCAGGTTTTAAGTTTTAATTACTGTGGACTCCTACATGACTGCATTACTCATTTTGACAATTCCTTTTTATCTCACTTATTCACAAGATGCTGACCTAGTAAATCAATGGTTTGGTTTAATGCTTTTATCAGCTGCACTAGCTTATGTAAGAGGCGGCACCTCCAAATTTAACATCTGTTTCCGATAGCACTGAGTCAAATGAGGTGAGAACCTTTAAAACTGCACAAAATGATCAAGTTGGAAAATACCGAGTGTGGTATTTGAACCGGGGTCATCCACTCGTTAGTCCAACATGACACAGAGTTAGCTAACAGAGCGCTGGTACTGCACTGTGCTCATCTGCTGTTGCTTGGAACTGTTTGTAGTTATTTGTTTTGTTACATTTGATTTCGGTGGTTTTAGGCTGCCGGACTCATACTCAAGAGATTGCGGGTTCAGCTCGGTCTGACATTGTGTCCTTGGGAAAGGGACTTTACTAGAATTTCACACTTGGCTCGTTCCTCTCGGAGATGGACGTTAAACTTGGAGGTCCCGCCTCTTAAATAACCTAATAGTGTTGATAGGGGGCGTTAAAGCCATATCATTTCTACATTTTTTACTTCTGATTTGTCACCATATCATTGTGAGATAAGTTTCAGTTCTGAAATCAGTGTAATTGTATTTCTCCCCCCTGTTTGAAAACAATGCCATTAAGTTTACTGTAAGTCAAACTTATCACACTTGTGCATTGTTGGTGTTCTCACTCGTTTTTATTAAGAGTTATTTTTTTGGGAAACAAGTTTTGATAATCTACTTAATCATACGTCTACTTGTGTGTTTATGAGGTCTATAGTTTCCCCTCCCCCCCCCACAGGATCAAAATATAAATGAAGTGAGAGAAACCCACGCAGCCATGAAGATGTTGTATGCAGCCTTGTCAGTGAAGTCTTTAGGTAAGTGAACATATGGTGTGGGTGGCTTGCTCCTTCTTTCTTATCAAACATCCGTCGTGGTCGTCTCTCCTTTTTTTGTGCGTTTGTCACTCCCTTGTAACACCTCTGCACCTCTAATCTGCGGCACTTTATGACCTAATTATGTCGCAATGGCCATGAAACGAATACCAATCTCTTCAAAGGATTCCAAGACTTAATACAGTCGAACCTGCTCTGGCCATTCCCTAAGGGGGGTATTAACATGTTCTTATGTACAGTAGAGTTGTAAATGGGCTGATTTATCAATGTCATGCTCATTCTGTGTCAGAACAACATAGGGGGAACTGCTGCTTTTTCTTTCCTCATCCTTACTATCGTCATTTTTCCTCTACTTCTTTTGTATGTTTATCACTCTCTGGTGAACTGCTATTTCCAGGGTGCCTTGATAGTCGAAACAGACTTTGTGCTGTTGAGGCTAGAGAGGTGAGCAGAGTAAGTTTCTCTGTTGACATCCGACTCTTGGCGATCATATAACCTTATGCAGTTGCGAGCGCCGCAAAACCTTACTAAAACTAAGAACCTGCTGAAACGGCCACCTGTCCAAGACACAATTACCTGTGCCCACAACCGCCCTTCCTCCCCTCACTAACTTTTTGCAGAAATCAAAATAAATTTTTTGACTGCTTTTTCTGAAGTTTGAGAAGATTCCCCCCCACCCCCGGTGTGTTAAAAAATTCTTTTTCAAATCACTACAATGACACTGAGTTTTCCACCTGTCAAAGATGGTCACTTTGCTCCTTGACAATGGGTGACTGTCTTAGACAATTTTGGCGGGTGCTCTGGTGTGGTTTGCTTCTTCTTTCCTGTCAAACATCTATCGTCCCTGTCTTTCCTCCTGTTTTGTGTTTGTTACTCTCTTGTAACACCTGTAATATTTGGCACATATATGTCGTAATTGTGTTGCAAGTGCTATAAAACTCCTAGTTGTACAAACAAGACAATTTCAGTAGTACACGTCTGGAGTTGTAAAGGTTAATGGTTTCTGTCACAGACAGCTGTATGTGACTGGGGTTGTAAGGGTTAATGGTATCTGTCACAGACAGCTGTATGTGACTGGGGTTGTAAGGGTTAATGGTTTCTGTCACAGACAGCTGTTTGTGACTGGGGTTGTAAGGGTTAATGGTTTCTGTCACAGACAACTGTATATGACTGGGGCTGTAAGGGTTAATGGTTTCTGTTCCAGACGAATCATTTGAGTGGGTGAGCACCGGCTGGGGTTGTAAAAGTTAATGGTTTCTGTCACAGGCAGTTGTATGTGACTGGTGTTGTAAGGGTTAATGGTTTCTGTCACAGATGAGCCATTTGAGTGGGTGAGCACCGACTGGCTGACCAAGTGGCTGGCAGATCCCAGCAAAGTGAGCAAGGTCGAAAACAAGATCCCTCTCTGTCCCCACGGCAAACTGGTGGCCGACGAAGTGACCAAGCTCAAGTGTATATCAAGTGAAGGGGTAAGCTGGAGCCTGTAAAAGTAATAATGATAGTAATAGTAGTAGTAATACTAATAATATAGATAATCTTTATATTGCCTGCTCTTGTGTGCACACAGCTCTAGGCATTTTACGTGAATCCAAGTACAAAGACCAATAACTATTTGCAGCTGGAAACAATCTGTGTCTATGCATGTGTTATAATGATAATGATAATTATATGTGCTACATGAATGCAATTATTATTACCTGTAGCTGGGTACCCATTCCAGCCAAGATGAAGTGAGGATTACTGATATGATCCGTTTGCGTTGCAAGTGCTGTAATACTCTTTGAAAAAAAACTCAACTTACTCTAACGAAGTCAAAGATCTAATTGTGATGTAAAAAGTTTGTCTTCGCAGTTACTCATTTTGTCTGTGCCTTTAATTTTACAGGCAGAGTTACTGTTCACTAAGTATCCTGTCAACAAGAGATTCAAAGGGTGAGTAACTCTTTGTCATTTCTGGCGAGCTCTAGTGTTGCTTGCTCCTTCTTTCCTATCAAACATCTATCGTCCTTGTCTCTCCTCTTTCTTTCATTTGTTTGTTACTCTCTAGTAATACCTGTAATCTTCGGCACTTACATAGCTTAATTGTGTTGCAAGTGCTGTAAAACCGTTTCGAAATCTAAAAAGATATTTCTTGTAACTTTTCTTTGCTGTTGGTCTTTCGTGTAAACAAATGTCTGTTTGGGATATTTCTTTGTCAGCTGCTGTGGGAAAAATCATGTGATGCTACGATGGTCATTGTTGTTGCTGTTGTCTTCCAACAGCTTTGCGACATCACTTGTCTGCTAGCGTGTGGGAAACTGGCTGCTTGCATGGTTACTGTCTGGGGCAGGTGATTGTTTGAGTAGGGTCATCTGTATCTTCTTTGCCTCCACAGAACCGAGACACTTTGTGAAAAGTGCATTCGACAAATCTGCAGAGAGAAACAGTTTGAGCGCTGTATGGCGGACGACGACAAGTTGTTTAGCAGCACGAAAAACATCAACTCTTGGAACTCCAGGTTGGTGTGGAGTGGATGGTCAGCGGGTGCTCTGCTGGGGTTTGCTCATTCTTCCCTATCCAACATCTGCCCTTGTCTTTCCTTCTTCTTTTCTTTGTATGTTACTCTCTAGGAACACCTAATCTCCGGCACCTATATAATGTATTTGTGTTGCAAGTGCCGTAAAACTCTTTCTGAAACTAAAACTGAACCAGGTGGGTTGATCTTTCTATATGAACCCTTGAAGCGCGTAGACCCTATATAAAGGGCATGAGCCTTGCTACCCGGGAAGCGCACAGGCCCTTTATAGGGCTGACCTACTTCGACCGGGAAGCGCGCGGACCCTATATAAAGGGCACAGACGCTGACCTTTTTCAATGGAAAATTCCAGTATTCCTTATATGGAAAATAACGTAGTAAATTACAGGTTAAAGTTATAAATAGTGACCAATGACTTTTTAAGTTATCTTGACCTTGAAGAACGTCTCTTGGCCAAGATATCGATCGATAAAGTGACGCAGTCCAGCTGAGCGTCTACGCGCTGTCATGTGTTATCACTTGTTTTGCTGTGCTGATGTACCAATTGTTGAGTTTATCGCGTTTTGTTTGTATTTATTTGATCGCTTATCATTTTAGAATGGCTCATTGTATCAGCTTTAAAAAAAAAAAAGTTTTATATGCCTCTTATCATCTGTTGAGCCGTAAATGGTCATTTTTCAGTAGCAGGTATACATCTCGGGTGTCTCAGCTGATCCCCCCATGTTTACAACTGATCGGCCGTGGCGGCGGGGAATTTTTGGCAGGTTACTTCCGGTGAAACGCTGAGCGCTTCTAGGGTTAAGAATGAGAGCTCTTGTTGATGTTGCTGTGTGGTTTCTGAATTTTTCAAGGAATGGGGTAAACTTTCATGGATTTTTTAGCACCATAGAGGCAAAAGTTGAAAAATGCTTGATCCTTTCTTTGTGAAAATGTTTTTTAGAGTGATTCTGACTGTCTTTTTTTGTGAGACTGTTGTTTCTCGTACAAGAAGTGACAGTATTGTTTGTGGATAAGACTTAAACTAGATCAGTTTTAGCCAGTGAATTTTTGGGATTACTGTACATTCTGTTACTAAATGTTTTCTGTTGCAAAACAATAACTTTAGCTCCATGAAATTGATACCATACTGGCTAGCATGCACATAGAAAACATACACACAGGAAACAGATTTTCAGGTCCCAAATTTTTTCTCACACATGTATTTTCTTTGTATTTTATTAAACATATGTACATATCGAAACTCATACTTAACGTAAAGATTACCTCATTCTGCAAATTTTAGACTGTAATGCTGTTATGGCCAAATGAGATCATCTTTGAGAAGCTAATTTATGTTGTTTCTTTTAGGCTGAAGGTCCTGAACTCAGATGACTGCTAGATCAGACAAATTCAGTTGTTGTTTTTTATTTAGCCATTGTTTTTATTTCAGTGAAAAATTCTACTGGGTGAGCACGAAGCATCTACGTCGTTGGAAAAAGTTAGCACTTCAAGAAATTTCTGTACAGGCCGAGTCTGTGATATCGTCTCCAGCAAACCCCACACTAACTCCGGCGTCTTTGATACAAGACAACGGCGTCTCCAGCTCACACGTTGACAGACATTCCTCCGACCCTAAAGCCGTCGGCTCGTCTGCCTCATCGAACAACGTCTCTGACACTTCGCCCAAGTTTTGCTCAGTTTCTTCCTCCGGTTCTCACCCAACATCGCCCGTCGCTATGAACTCCTCATCGTTAAATCAAAACCACAACCATCCTACTTCATCACATCATAATTCTGGTCAAGAAACGTCAGAATTCAACTCCACTCGCAAACAAACTTCCTCTTCTTCACTCACGGCTGACACACAGGACTCCTCTAGACTTTGTGAAGCAGATTCTCCCATGGATATTACTAGCTCGGACAAAGTATGTGAACTTCCACGGGGGAAATCCACGACTCCTTACCACGGTGAGGGGAATTCAGACAGCGTGGATTCTGTGTCGGCCGTGGATGAGAGTGAGGGCACGGGGGCGGCTGCATCGGGTCAGAACCCAGAGTCGTGTGAAAGCCCCGACAGCGGCGTGATCGTCTTCAAGAGGAACGCCGAAGATTTCAACGACTCGGTCTCAGAGACGAGCGAAGACCGGTCAGCTCAAGGGAACTGGTCGGATCATGCGATGGATGCGGACCGGCCGAGCGTGTACGGGACCTACATGGGAGAACTTTGTAACGGGAAGCTGTTGACCGGTGAGGAGATCAGCGGCTCGTCCACGGATGGACAGGCTGAGAGAGACGATAACGGGCAGGAAGACGATGAAAAGGAAGAAAAATTCAATGATGACATCCTATGTGAACATGGTAAGTTTTTTAAATCTCTTGTCATGTTTTTTTATATAAATGGTGTTACCCATTTTGAAAATGGCTTTTTTTGTTTGTTTTGTAGATTATTAACACTGGAAAAAGTTATTTCGTGTTGAGAAAAACAGGACAAATGATAATAGCAGAGGGTTAGGGAAGAAGGAGGACTTACCAGCAACTCCCTCACTATTCCAGCTTTTCTAAACTACATCTATATTATTTATGAAGTACTCTCACACACTGGAAAAACTGCAAACATAACGTTTATTGTGGGAAGAGAAGTGCAGGGTCCAGTAGGAGCTCAGGAGACATGTCTAGATGTTGAAGCACATTATCGGCAATCTGTTCCAGTGTTCTAAGCCAAGAGAGCCAAATTTTCCAGGAGAGAGAAAAATGACTTTAATACTTTTAACGTACTCACTTTTACTTTTTTACTTTTTCCTTCCTCTGGTATCCTTAGGATGTGGAGAGGAGGTGCAGCTGTGCTGGGTGTGTAGCGTCTGTGGTAGATATGTTGTGTTGTTCCAGGATCGTTTTTACCCCACCCAGCCAGGTCTTTCTTGGTCTTCCTCTTGATTTGAAGCCGGATTCTCAGGTGTTGTAAGCTCTAGCCGCTAGTTGTTTCTGGGGCATTCTGGTTAGATGTCCAAACCATTTGACTCTCTAACGCTCTTTGAATTTTATTACTGGTGGTATTCCAGTTTTTAGACGTATGGTTTTGTTTCTTATGCAGTCTCTTCTGGTGACGTTGATGGTTTTACAGAGACACCTCGTTTCGCATGCATTGATTTTTCTTTCTCGTGCCTTGTTTAGAGACCATGTTTGGCACTGGCATGTTAATGTTGGTATGATGATGCTATTGATGAGCTGGGATTTCGCTTCGGTTGCGATGTTCTTGTGACTGAGCAGGGGCGCTAGCTGGTAGGTCACTGCATTTGCCATCTTAATTCTTGTATCTATTTCTTTGTCCATATGCCCATCTTGTGTGAAGATGCTTCCCAAATGTTTAAATTCCTCTACTTGTTAGAGTTGTATTCCGTCAGTAAGATGTTCAGTTTCCCTGGTTTTCTGCTGACCATCATAACTTCTGTTTTTGAGATGGAGATTTTCGTGTTTAGATGTTTACATTCCTCATTTAGTTTTATGGTGTGTTTTTGTAATTCCTCTTCATCTGTATTTAATATATACTCTGGTCATCAGCAAATACAAGCTCGTTCAGTTCAGTGATGTTGTCATTTGCTGCTTTCGTGATCTTATCAATGTAAGTGATGAAGAGAAGCGGAGAGAGAACACACCCTTGTCTCACCCCAGACCTGATGGGGAACCAAACTGATAGTCCTTCTGTTGATGTTACGGCACACAGGAAGTTTTTATTAAAAGTGCCATGATGTTCTCCAGCAATTGTCCTGTTACTCCTTATTCCTCTAAGACTTCCCAAAGCTGACATCTATTAACCTAGTTGAACGCCTTTTCCTGGTCCACAAAGACAATATTGAGGTCTTTGTCATGTGCAATGGCAGTCTCACACAACTGTGTTAATGCAGATATAGCGTCAGTACAGCCTCTGCTTCTCTGAGGCCAAACTGGGGTTCTCTGAGCTGAGTCTCTACAATTGGTCTCATTCTTATTTCCAGTATCTTGGCAAACATTTTACCCTCATGGCTGAGAAGTGATAGATCTATTCCTCTCTAGGTTCCACAGTCTCTTTTGTTACCTTTCTTTTTCCAAACTGGTACTATGACAGCTCATTGCCAGTCATCGGGTATATACTTTTAACAATTGTATCAAAGCTATGTACCTCTTCTTTCTTTTTTCAATGTTTAGAATTTGAATTTCTACAAAATATTTCTTGAACACATGCATTTGATACTACAGATTAAGAAACTGCAATTTTTTTAATTCACAATTTTGGGCCAGGTTCATAATATGAACAGCTAGTAGGTGAATGTACAAATTGTAGATAGCAGCTGTGTTAGTTCTTATTTTTCACACTGACTAATACAATTTTTTCTTAGGAAACTTGCGCATTGACGAGAGTGGTCGGCGGGCGGTGCCACAGGTTGTGTGGGATCGGCTGCGGCACTACTTCCCTCACCTTAAGCCCTTGCCGTACCTCTCGCCAGTCTGCGGAGACTGCATGGTCAGTTTACTCATGTTGTGTCTGTTTCATTAGATTGATGTCCCCCCTGGGGCAGTGCCACTGACTGGAGTGTCTTTAGGATATTCCCAAAGGGGGGGCATTTCTCATTCTTATGCACAGTAGAATTGTAATTAGGCTGATTCAACAATGTCATGCTCATAACTGTGTCTGAACTACAACAGGGAACTGCTGCTTTTTCTTTCCTAATCTTTACTATCGTCTTTTTCCTCTACTTCTTTTGTATCCGCTATTTCCGGGGTGCCTTGAAAGTCGAAACAGACTTTGGCTGTTGAAGCTAGAGAGGTGAGCAGAGTAAGCCTGATTCCCTGTAAAGACTTCTCTGTTGACATCCACCCCTTGGCGCTCGTATGACCTTATGCTGTTTCGAGCACTGTAAAACCTCTACTAAATAATAATAATAATTACATTGATGACACGTTATTGCGGTCAAATTCAAAAGCATCTTGCTGGCACATCTTTATTGTAGGTAGAAGTTAATTTCTTTGTGTATGTGTAGACATTTTTCTCCATTGCAAGATTGACTTTTGACACAACTGTTTACGTAGAGAAAACTTAACTTCGAAACATTTGTGATTCGTTATTTTGAAAGTTTTCAACTTGATTGGTCAGTTTCATTTCCCTTACTGCATTGTTATGATCAATGGGTACTTTAAGGGTTTGCAGACAGCTAGACATAACATAGTGTTTATCATACACAGAGCAAAAATTTTCAAATGTTTTCTTATGTATGTAATTTTTTATATTTAAAACACATTCATAGCAAAATTCATACACGGCATTACATTTCTGTGTCCCTCCGATTTCGCTATGTGTTTGTAGACGGTATATCGTTGTACTTCGGCTTTAACGCGTATATAGATTCTGAGGGTTGTGTACTGTAGAGTCCTAAATCACAAGCTTGCACTGTGACTAATGTTATTTCTTTTTGTCTGTTTTGTTTTGTATTCTTCCCCAGCACAACCAGGCCCTGCAGGAACAGCTACGGCGATCTCGCAAGGAGGCGGGCCAGGGGCAGAAGGACGTGCTGCAGAACCTGTACCACGGGAAGAACCGGCCCAAGATTGGGGAGGACTGGCTGGGCCGCTCCGCCTTCGTTGTTAGCTCCAACTTCGTGGAAGGCTGGAAAAAGTTCATCAAGTAGGTTCTGACATAGGGTTTTTTAATTAATTTTTTTTTCTCATGTAGTTATTTCTTTTCTATACAATTTAGTAAAATCATCAGATGTTTAGGAGGGGGTTTTTTTTTGTTGAGTGTGTTTTATAGATGTCTGCTTAGAATACAGAATACTTTATTCTCGTTTTACCTCTAGTAAAACAAACAGATTAAATGACCATTTTTGTGTCGACGTGGTTCTCTTTACTCAAACCGTCATGCTGATTGGCCATAGACTACTACTCAATGAAAACATTGCATACAGTTCTCAGATTTGCAGCTTCTGTCTATTAAGCTAACTTTTCCCCTGTTTGCTTTACCGTTGGTCCAGGCACTGTATGAAGAGCGAGTCTGTCCAGGAGATCGTCAACGCCCCTCTGCTGTGTGAGCACAACCTGATGTTATATAAGCTCGAGGACATGAATAACATTGACACCGCTACCAGGTACATTAACATAGTAATGATCATTAATAATTATGTTTATTTTTTTATTTTTTTAATGATGATAATATAATAGTAATATTTGCATTAAAATAGCACGAACACACGCTCAACAGCATGCTCTATGCGGTTTACTACTATTATTATCCCAGCAGACTTTACAACACTCAGAAACATTCTTGGTTTTACAGGAAGCGTACCCTGCAAGTAGCCAATTAAGCGCTCAAACACTAACACACAGGCTAGATCATTTTGCAGTCTATCGCAGGCATACCACAGACAAGTTTGTGTGAACTGTATTGAAATGTTCTCTTTCTCAAACCTTATTGCGCAGGTTTGTGCTGGTGTGGGACGAGGAGTGGGAGAAGCTGATCCACTACTTCAGCTATGACGTGGGGGTGCAGGTTTTGCAGCAAAGCGAAAGTGACGGGAGAATCACGCTGAAAACCTACCCCAGTAAGTTCTAGGTCTTGTGTGGGGGTTTTTGTTTCTAATTAATTTGCCTTCAGGCCGATGTTTTGTGGCCCCTACTTGACCTTGTAAGTTTAGTGTTAGTGCGGCCCGCGCGATTTTCTCACATGCACCTTTTTGCCGAGGTTTTTCCCTGTAATTGTATTGGTCTTTATTACTTATGCCTGTTGTATAACGATCAAGAGGATTAGACCAGTTGTACTTGAAAAGAAAAAAATTCATCAAGACTTTTTTTGGGGTGGAATACATGATGCGGCCCAGACTCTCCCTCTTGGGGAAGGTCCAATCCAATCTTTGCCCATTTGTTTGTGTTCTAGAGTGGTTGGCAGGCGCTCAGGTGTGGTTTGCTCCATCTTTGCTTTCAAACATCTATCGTCCTTATCTCTCCTTTTCCTTGTATGCTGCTCTCATGTTTGGCATTTATATGGCCTATTTGTGTTGTAAGTTCCGTAAAACTTTTCATCATCATCATTATGTGCCAGATCTGAAACGCACATCAGCAGTCATGGTTCTCCATTTCTCCGCTTGGATGCTCTAAAAGAAACGGACATTATCCCGCTGTTTCTCTGTCACCCATCTGTTCAGGTTTTCCCGCTAACACTAAAAAGCTCCTGTGGTTTATGCTCAGGTGTGTGCAGCTCGTGTCTGGCCGAGCGACTGCGCCAGGAGGAAGAGGGAAAGTTTATCTTCACCAAACAGCCCATCTACGTCCGCAAGATTGTCGACGGGACCGGGCTGGATGGCTCGGGCAGGGGGGATGACTTGATGGGCAACGGCAAGGGATACAACTATGACCCAGAGTTCAGTGCCCCTGTGAGTATCACCCAGGACACAAGTTTTCTCCCACAAGTTGTATGGTATATTTTTTAGATGTATATCTGCAACTGGGAGGTGTTACTGTGCAATTAATTTTTTTGTTTGCTGTTAAAGATTGTGAACTGACAGTTTTGACTCATTGCTCCTTCTCTTTTTGAGACATTAGTTATACTGTCTAGCATGCACATTGTGAAACACACATGCAGTGACAAGACTTTCAGGTCTGAATTTTTTTCTTAATCTTGTACGAGTATATAATCTTTGTATTTAAAACAGGAAGCAGTGAAATTCATACATAACAAAAAGATTTCCAGATCCCACTGATTTTGCTACTTGAGTGCTAGACTATTTTCACAACTATTAATCAATATGGCTTAATATTAGTCGCTTTGAGAATGAACTGATTTCCTGTGTTTGGAAAATTTCGTTTGAGAAACGTCTGACTCTCTTGTACCTTTTATGAGCACAAACAAAACTTGTCCCCAGCCCAACCAGAAGCCGCCCAAAGGTCGCTGTTTCAGCCCGCCTCCGGAGAAGCAACCGCGCCTGGACAGCGGTGGACAGCGGAAAAGTTCTCGCCATCGGAAAACTCGGGGAGAGAAGGAGGTGACCGTCTCCTCCACCATGACCCTCAAGGAACTCAAGATTTTAGTAAGTGTCCTCTCCAAGCTTGAACAAGGACATGTTGAAAATACTTAATTTGTTCGCGCTTTTATTAATCCATATATAAGGGAATATTTGTTTATGATGGCATTTCATGCATAAAAATTGGAATACAATAATTTATTATTCCTTCTCCGTCATTCAACATTGCAGTGTGTCAGAATTTGGAAAAAATTAAATTTTAGCATGTTGTTGAATTTGATGAGACACTTTGATCAGTTCTGGTCTTAATCCTCTTCTTTAAAAAGCAACAGATTTAGACAAATTAAACAATTTGTATTTTATGGCAATTTTTTTTATGGACAGTGTACACAATGACAAGTTTCATACATACCGGTCCTCTCAGCGTACAACAATCCTTTTTTTACCCGTGGCATGTAGCGTCTTTGTTGCACAGGTGAAATCATCTTTTCCTGTAACATTTTTGCTCCACTGTGTTTTGATGTGAGAAAAAACTATTAAAGCTTGTTTTTGTAGGTCTAATAGTATTTGCTACACTTTGAAAAAAAGCTTTCAATTAAAGATGGGAAAAAGTTTTGTTCAGTCCAAGCTAACAGCAGCATTTAGCAATGTATTTGTCGTGATGGTTTAAGATACTGAACAATTTTGATCTCATTTTTTTTTCCCCCAGCTCTTCAGTGTGTGTAGTGTCCCACCCTTTGATCAGAACCTGTCATTAGACGGGCGCAGTTTGAAAGACGATGACGCAACCCTGCAAGACCTCAAGGTCTACCCTCAGTGTGTGATTTTCCTCAAGGTTTGTATCATCACTATGTAGTGCCTGGTCTGTCTGTGGTGTTTTTGAGGTGTGCAGAAGATATTGTAGTGGTCTCTCATTGAATTGAAGTTTGTGGTGTAATGGCTAGGCTCTTCTCTGTCTCATGCAGAGAATTTTATCAACTGAGTGAGCTGTAAATCATTTACAGTCTTGTATGCACATAGGACTCTGCCTTATGTACCTGACAGTATTGGGAGAGAGTAAGTAAGTTAGAATGCACGTAGTGAAATTGAAGGAATGCAGAGAATTTTCATGTATGAATTTGGCTATGTATGTGGTTTAAATACAAAGAATACATGTTAAAGAAAAAATTCAGGACCAGAAAATCCATTTGCTATGTTCATGTACACACTGTTCATGCTAGTGCTAGACTGTACAATCTGACAATTTCTCTTAGCTAAGCTTCAAGCTTCTGTGTGTAATTATCAATACCCCTCCTCTCGTCACTTAATCTAGTAACATGGGTTGAAATAGTAGCCTTGATTCTTACAAAAGATACAGTCCATGCCGGCTTTAAGCACGGTCATCGGGAGAAAGCTGAAGCGTGCTTAAAGCCAAAGCGTGCTTGAGTGCGAAGTAGACATAGTCCGGAGATTTTCATTGAGAAAATTTCCCGTTCTATTTCCCTTTGTTTGTAAGTAGGCCTATAGCGGTCCCGCAAAAGTGTGCACTGTTTTTTTTAACCCGCCATAGTAGTTTTTGTTTGCTTGTTTGTTTTTGTTTTGTGGTCCAATGGGAAATGAAAACTTTATTTAGACGGCCAGTCACGATACAGCACACTAGGCCTACACACTGCATGTGCGTACCACTGCCTGCTGTGCCACATTCATCCCCCACAGGGTCTTTGATCCCACCTCGCCCGAGATACACGATCAGGATTAATGGATAGCGAGGGGCAAAGGTGAAATCGCAGCCAGCCTCCCTTTCTCGTCTCCCCTACTCTCTTTGTTTTGTTTTTTTGTCTGTGTGTAGCTTTGCCCTAGGCTAGATCCTATGTCCATGCGCGTGGCTGTGTGCATCTCTCTGCCTTCCTCTCCGCCCGTGTGAGTGTGTGTCTTCATCACTGGCGTTCTTTGTGTTTCTCTTAACACACTCCACTGCTGCAGTGTAGACTGTTCAGACTTCGATAGAGGTCATCATGAAAGTATTGACTGTCTTGTAATGAAGCGTGCTTGAAGCCGAAGTTACTGTGCTTAAAGGCGTGTAATTTATATAGCAAAAATTCGGTAAGAGCCGTTTAGCGTGCTTGAGTCCGAAACGTGCTTTATGCCGGCGTGCTTAAAGCCGGCACGAACTGTAATGGCATCAGTAACCCTAGTGGTTATACTACCAGTCTTGAAATAAAGAGATTGTGGGTTTGAAGGCTCGAGGCTGTGCTTGGTCCAGTGCTGTGTTCTTCGAAAAGGCATTCTGGTTTGGTAGACATTTTATGGCACTCTCTTTGTTCATATTTTTCCGTTTGCCTTGTTCCTATTGGAAATGGACGTTAAATTCAGAGGTCTTCAGGGGCATTAAATTTATACAATTTAACACATTTTTACGAGTGGCAGGGTTTGTGGCGAGGAGAGAAATGACGGGCCCAGTGTCACCCACTGTATAGAGTTTGGCCATCATTGCTTCTGTGATTCTTGGCTACTTGCGGCTTTGAAGGAAAATATTGAAGGGGAAAAATATATCGATTCCAGTCTGTATCAAGTGAAGATAAAGTTTTGTGCATTTCTGACTCATGTTGGGAAGTTTGTTTGTTTTTTTCCTTTGTTTTCCTCATCATAGTCTTTATCTTTTCTTTTGTAATATTCTCTTCAGGCTGATGAGCCAACGGGTGATATTTCCTCTGCTGTGGATGATTTCCTGAGTGGTGAGTCGCAGATTGGGTATTTGTGGGAAATGAAGAACATTTAAATTTTTTTGTCTGATACAGTGGGACCTGCTCCAACGGTTACTTGTCCAAGACAGTCAGTCACCTGAACAAAGGGCCATTTGACACTGCCTACTTTTTTGTCTTGTTATTTTAAGAATACAATGGAACTCGGATTCAACGAGGTCGCCGGGCCTGACCTAAAATCTCGTTGAATCCGAGTGTTCGTTATAGCAAACACGAGGTTGTGTGTAGATAATTACAGACACTGAGCAAGTATTGTATAAAGAGAAGTCACAAGTAGTGCCTGAAATGCCTGCATATTATGAGCTGTGTAAAAAAAAAAAAGACAGATTCGTTCAAATACACACGCCTGTGTCATCTCGATTGTTTACTAAAAAGTTGTGCTGCTGTGTAGAGCCTAGCATACGGCAACTTTTGATTCCATAGACCAGCGCACAATTCATTACGTAGATCTACGTCAAGACTAGCTTATCATTGTAATATTGATCAGTTGCCGAGGGGAAAAAAAAGACTGTGATGTGTTTGTATCTGCGACGTTCCACGCCCGGACCGCTAGTGCCGCGCCCCCCCGACACGCACACACAGCCACATGTGTGCAGGCCGCCCATCCCACCCCGACAGTACACCCCCAGAGCAGACACGTGCGCGGGCCAACAACGCATGTGTTGGTATGAAAAAAGGCCGCTGATTGGTCGCATGCAATTGGCTAAGCGAATAATGGTTCACGATGCAGGTGCAATTGATGGTTTCCGGGAATAGATGAGATTCGTTCCGGGAGAAAAATGAGCGAAGCCACATCTGTGGGGCTGCTTACCCTGGAAGCGACCTTGTTGAATCCGAGCTCGCTGATTTAAGTGCTTGTTGAATCCGGGTTATTTTTATTGATTTTAAAGAAGAAGAAAAACGGGGAATTTATCTCATCTCTTTGAATCCGAGTTCTGGTTGAATCCGAGCTGGTTGGATCCGAGTTCCACTGTATTTATAATGGTACTGTTGGGATTGACCCGTCTAAAACAATGGCTTTTCTCCTTGTCAAAGTGACTGACTTGGACAATTTTGACTGTATATTATCGGCAAGCTGAACCTGATTCTCTGATTCTGACTGAAAGAGTGCAGACCCTTTTACACCCTCCCTTTCTGAAATGTTTTATTGGTTGCCATCTCCATAATTACAAACTATTCTCTTAATTTGTTTCCTAGCAGTTGATTTATGAAGTTGTAGACAATTCCCTCATACTCATTAATACAGGCAATGGTGTGATGATGATAATGATGATTTCAGAATAGTTGTACTTAATTGTCTGGTTTGTTTGGGAAAAGTCCAAAAATACATTTGTTCAACTCTGTCCTCTGCCAGTAGTTTTTGTATCATATGAGAATGTTTGTGGGCCAGGGAGTTCAGTGTGTGCTATGTATGTCCTGTGTTTGTGTTGTATGTTACTAATTAATAGTCTTTAGTCTTGCAATGTGTTAAGTTGAATGATAATTCTGGATTGTATAGGGCCTAGAGCCTTCTAGGAATTAGGTGCTATTAATACTGTTATATAAATTTTCACTATTATTATTATTATCATTAGCAATTTTAGCATTTTTGTCATTATTATTATTGTTGTCATTATTTCCGTGCAGTGCCCACCGGTCCGGAGGAAGGATTCAAGGGAACTAATCTCCTGGGTAGATGAGAAGAGACCCCCCATAACAGTGTATGTGCATGCGTCGTCGTCGTTGACAAGATTTGGAAAATGAGTTGACGGTTCTCATCTGCGATAACTTTTGGGAAAAGCTGGCTATTGTTACTGTTTGTGAAGACTGAAAGGACAGCAGAGTTGGATTGTTACCCTATGAAAAGCTAAATTATTGGAGAGTCTGCTAAAAGCACGGGAAATGTTGTATCTCATTTCTCACTTGTTGGAGTAGAATGTAGACTGATGGTACTTTTGACTCAGATCTCAAGTAGTTACTTTGTCGTAGTTTTATGGGTATTGCTATGGAAAAAAAAAATGTCTTGGGTTTGTTTTGGGAAATGGAAGGAGCAGAGGGTATGCCCAAGTTTAAAGGCTTGGGGCCATACGGAGAAACCTCAGAGCATAACTTTAGCATTAGTACAAAATTTGGAATTGTCTTCTTTGCCAACAAAGTCAGCTGAATGTTCTTCTGGCAGTGGCTCTCTCTAGAGTCAAGCACAGAACGTAAGCCAGTGAACAAATCCAAGTCTGTCATAGACCAAGAACTTGATTATTTTCTATCGCAAACTTTTTGTATTGTCCATGGTTACCGAATTCTGACGGGTAGCAGGGGACTTGTCTCTAAAAGTTGATATTCAGGCTTGGATTTTACACTAAGCCTTATATATATGTATGTATGGTATATTCTTTATCAGGGATGGGGCTTTTCCAGATATTTTTTCCTCGGGCATGGGGGTGTAGAATCAAATTTAAAGCAAAACAAACAAAATTGGCTCTCCATCAGTGCAATAAATTTTGTCTGGAAGTTCATTCCTCCGTTTCTCAGAAAGACAGAAAGTTTTGCAGTGGAACGACATTAACTTTCTCGCTTGCAGGTTCTCAGAATTTGGTTGCTTATAAAGCATTTTTGTTCCACCTGAAATGTCACTGACAAGTCTATTGTCCTGAAGATGTATTCATTTCCGAGAGGCTACTTGTTCCATCTTTGTTGTTTTGAGAACAACTGAAATGTGTTGGCATCTGGTCTAGCGGTTAGGTTCTCGAACTCTCAACTCTAAGGTTGTGGGTTTGAGTGCTGTCAGGGGCTTGGATGTTGTGTCCTTTGGAAAGGCCTTTTCCAGGAATTTTCCTCCCTTCACCCAGATAGGAAGGGCTACCCGACTATAGACGGCAACAGATCTTGTCTGTATGTTAGTGTTGCAGAGCATGTAATCTGCAGCTTGCTCTGTATGCTTCCTGGGAAGCCGAGAATGAGTCATGTTCTTGGATCTGCTCGGGTAATGATAGTTGTAAAACGCATAGAGCATGCAGTAGAGCGTGGATATATATATGCGTTACATAAATGTAATTATCATTAATATTATTGTTATTATTATTTGTCGTACGGGTGTTCCCTCTGCACCAGCATCTGGTGTAGTAGTTCAGCGCCTCGCTGTCGCATGTGTGGGAAACCCGAATTTGATTCCCGAGTGGAGAGAATTATTATTGAGTATCTCTGTCTTTCTGCTGGGATGTTTTTTATCCCTCTCAGCCTGGGTTGGCCCTGATAGGCAGGGTTGTAAACCCACCTCTTAAATTATCTAAACTATGTCGATAGAAGTGTATAAAAGCACCAAAATTTTTATTTATTTTCTTGGGGGGTTGGGGGTTTTTTGTTTGTTTGTTTTTTTTGGGGGGGGGGGGGGCATTTTTGGGTGAGAGTATGGTTGGGCGTATCAGTATCAGGATCCATAAATCTGGCTGGGTTGTAGAAGGGTCATATCAAATGTTGAATTAACCCAAGAAAATGCTCATGGATAAAGAAAAGATATTTTACGGGCAGGAGTACTTTGACATATATATATAATATATATACTGGTAATATAATTGTTTCTTGAGTGTTGCATGGATCTGCATCTAACGTTTCTGTGCTTGCAGGTAATCTTTCCCTTTCCGTGTAATTTATTACTCTCCCTGTTGGAATGGGCATTCTCTGATGGTGCCTCATGAAGTACAGGTTCCCAAAAACGTTTGCTGTTCTCCCCAAAATGTGTTGACAATTGTGTACATGTACTGTAAGTCTCTTTGCTTATTACATAGAGCTAGCTGTGAGCATTGCAAATGTGTCGGAGTTTGTTTTTTTCCTTTCCCTCTTTTATAGTTTTGTTTCATAGCTACTCTATTTGCCAAATGTTTTCCTTTACAATGCTATGAAATTGCAATGAGTGTGTCTATGCTATTTATAGAAAGTAATGCTTTGTAATAGTCTTTATGTCATAAAAATGACCGGTCAATATCATGCAAAAGCATGGACTTGGTTTTTCACAATGCCGATTAAATGACTTTTTTTTTCAAAATTTTCTCTTTGGTACCAACTTTTTAAATGTGTTTTTGTTGTTGTTTTTATGTGATTTTATGTCTTGTGTCTATCAGCAGTTAGACTGGGGAAAGATGAACTATGGTATACATAATATTAGTTCTTGGAAACTTTTTAGGCTCTAGTTTGGTATAGGGTGGCATTAGTAGTCTGGTGATAAGGCTGCCAGACTTGTGATTGTGAGATGGTCGGTTCGGGAGTTCGTTGAGGCTCGGTTTGGTGCAACGTTGTGTCCTTGCGAATGACACTTAAAGTGAATTTTCCCCATTTTGGTTTCAGAGATGGATGTTAAAATCAGAAGTCCTGCCTCTTAAATAACCGAATAGTGTTAATAGGGGGCTAAACCCATGCACTTACATACCAGTACTTACTTTCTGAAAGCAAAGTTGGGCCCCATCCCATTTGGAACTGCTTTAGTTTAGTTTTAGTAAGGTTTTACAGCGCTTGCAACTGCACTAGGTCATATGAGCGCCAAGGGGTGGAATGTCAACAGAGAAGTCCAAACGCGGGATCAGGCTTACTCTGCTCACCTCTCTAGCCTCAACAGCACAAAGTTTGTTTTGACTATCAAGGCACCTCGGAAATAGCAGTTCACAAGAGAGTGACCAACAAACAAAGGAAATACATGTAGAGGAAAAATGACGTTAGTAAGGATGAGGAAAGAAAAAGCAACAGTTCTCCCAATGTATATGTTGTTCGGCACAGTACCAGCATGTTATTGATAAATCAGCCCATTCACAATTCTACTGTGCATAAGAACATGTTAATATCCC